CCCAATAAATAAATAATAAATAAGCCAAATAAGCAATAAATAAATAAGCCCAACAACATTCATCTTCAGGCAAACTCCAGAACTGGAGGATTGTCACAGAGAACAATTGTGAGAGATCTTTTAACCTAATAAAATCTAAGTTCAGATCCCTTTTGCATATTTAAATGGGCAGAGTGCATCAGAAACAACCTCAGGAATCAAGCCTTCATCTGCATTATAAGTCCCACTGAGATGTTAACATGTTAAATAAATTTACTCATTGCTACCTACAAAGCCCTGGAAAATTTAAAATCTCCCCATACCTCCAGGCTATGCGTCCTCCCATTGTTGGGCTAAGTCTTCTTTGGGATGGAACTAATTCTCAATTTCAAAAAAAAAAGATACATACATACAGTGAAGGTGATGGGATCAGATTCAGCAGAGATGAGGGTATTTTTCAACCCCTCCCCCCCCCAATTGTGTAATTTTTTCACACACACACACACACACACCCAAAAAAATTCTGGGTCAGCCATTCAAAACATCAGAAGGAATGTGTTACACAATGTAAAGAAAACAATTAGCCAGTTTAGCTCTTAAGGACTTCTTTTTCCAACTTATTTCTCTCCCCCCCACACCCCCAGCAAAACAAGGATATGAAGAGAAACCACCAATTAAGAAAACAATCCAATGCCATGCAAACTTTTTCTTTTTTAAAAATAATCATTTTCCTCTGTACCCAACGGAGTAACCTCACATCAATCCTCCCAAAGCAGGGAAAAAATTACTTGGGAGAAATTTTACAAGGGCCTTTGTTTTTCTCCCATCTGCAAAATAAACTTTTATAATCTGGATGATCAAATAACCATTATTATTATTTTTCCCTCCTCTTTTTGGAAATCAAGGAGCCAGTTTTTCTTCCGGCACGTTCAGCCTGCCTTTTCATTTTAACTGGTCCTGATGCCACCTTGGCATTCAAGATTCAGAAACCTGAATATATATATAAACTGTATATATATATTCATGAATGCAATGATTCTCCTTGCTCTTCTTCCCACTGTTAAAAGACAATTTCCCTGCCACCCAGGCGTAATTCTAACAGGGCATTTCCCCAAAACTGTAACTGGGCCAGATTGCATTTTGATTTATAAACATTCCTCAAACTCACAATTTCTCCTCCGCCAACAGGCAGGCAGACAGGCAGTGCTGCTGGTCACGTCAACCTGAAATCCGACTGGTGTTTTGGGGTGTGTGTGTGAAATGTGCACCAGAGCAGAGGATTAAAAACACTCAAAACCCACACACAAACTTTGAACTGCAGATCTGTGAGTCAGAGAAAAAAAATATCTCTTTCCCCCACCCTCTCCTTTGCTTAGAAAAAAAGAGAGGAAAAAAAATCAGAGCCAGCCTTTACTATCAACAGTGGCCTCTCTGCACCCACCACCTCCACACACACACACACACACACACACACACACACCATATCCTTTGCAGGATTACTCAGAAGTGCTGGGAAACTCAACAGAGTTAGCAGAAAAGTATGCAGAGGGTGGAAGTCCAAGGTTTTTAATTAAATGGGAATGGGGAGAGAGGGAAGGGGAAAGAGAGAGGGAGAGGGAGAGAGAGGGAGAGGGGGAGAAGGAGAGGGAGAGAGGGAGGGAGAGACAGAGAGAGGGGGAGGGAGGATGGGAGAGAGAGAAAGGGAGGAGAGGGAGAGACAGAGGGGAAAGAGGGAGGGAGAAGGAGAGGGAGAGGAGGGAGACAGAGAGAGAAAGAGAGAGTGGGGGGAGGGAGGGAGAAGGAGAGGGAGAGAGAAAGAGGGGGAGAGAGAAAGAGGGAGGGAGGGAGAAGGAGAGGGAGAGAGAAAGAGGGAGGGAGGGAGGGAGAAGGAGGGGGGAGAGAGAGAAAGAGATGAGGGGGTTGATAAACTAGCTTTCTAGCTCTTTGGGCCATATTGATATATAAAGGAATGGTATATTTAAGATTGTCCCATTCAGACGATCCTTCATCAGCCTTTCCAGACAGAAGACACACACAGAGTCCCACTGAATTTACCTTAAATCGGATCTGAATGCAAAGCAGAGATTTTTTTCCTTCCTCTTCCCCTGCTCTCTCTCTCTCTCTCTTATCCCTCTCTTCTCTTCTCTCTCTCTCTGATGAGAGGAAAAAGGGTGAATGGGCAGAGGTATCCAAAGGGAAAGGGGGAGGAGGGGGGAGAGGTCCAGAAGGGGAAGCAGGAAAGAAGAGGGAGAAGGGATTGGCCAAAGGGGGGAAGGAAGGGGGAAAGAGAGGATGCAAGGAAAAGGGGGAAGGAAGGAAGGGAGGGAGGGAGGGAGGGAGGAAGGAAGGAAGGAAGGAAGGAAGGAAGGAAGGAAGGAAGGAAGGAAGGAAGGAAGGAAGGAAAGAAAAAGAGAGAGAGGGTAGTAGGAAGGGAGGGAAGAGTGGAGGGGAAGGAAAGGAGAGAGGGAGGGAGGGGGAGGAAGAAGGGCAGGGAAGGAAGG